TAGCATCCATTTTGTTCATAAATCAAATATAATACCTGTATTTTAAATTATATCTTCAAACTAACTGGAAGTGTATCTTTTATTTCTGGTTCAACTGATTTTTCTTATTTATCAAAAAAGCTTTGTTGTCATCTAAAGGCTCAAGGTATACAATGGTGAATTTGAAAAACAGCATTCCAAGTTTTTTTTATTTGGGAATTATTTTTAAATACATTTACAATTTCTAATTGTAAATTCATTTTAAGCTGTCTATGAAGTATAAAATAATGTATGAAAGGTGTATTGTTTAAAACTGTGTAAAATATACAGCAGTTTCTAAAGAGAGTCTGAAGAAAACACTATCTCTTACCATCTTTTTCATATCCTGTGATAATAATGCACCAGAATTAAGGCTATTCATTGACAGGATCATGCCCAGAACTGGGGTTGCATTATTGTTTCCCAGAAGCCCCTGCCATAACAATAGTTCCCCATCATGTGGCATTCTTATAAGGGATTTTGGAGCAATCATGGGAAAATGATTCCTGGGATTCTTATCCCTGACAACTGATTTGGCTTTAGTTTGTCCCCTCTGATAAAATTGTAAAATGTTTCTAACTGGGTATGGCAAAACAAGGAATGAATTTTAGCTCAGTCCTATTTAATGTATTTACTTGAGTATAATGTGCCATTGATGTAATGCACACCTCAATTTTGAAGTTGTGAATTGCAACAATAACAAAAAAAAATTGTTGTCGAATGTAATGTAATGTCCTTACCTTGTTGGGCGTTCCGTTGCCTGCCTTGGAAAAGCCAACAGGCAAGGGGAAGCTGTGCCCCTCCATCAGGCTGAGGCTGGTGAATTTGCCAACCTCAGCCTGATAAACAAATTGGAGCATTCCAACTAAGGCCTCATTCACAAGGTCTTTAAAACTAAGGGGGGGGGGGAGTTGAAGGCCTTGTGAATGAAGTTAGTTGGGATATCGTGCCCCTCCGTCAGACTGAGGCTGGTGAATTCACCAGTCTTAGCCTGATGGATGGGCATAGGCAGATTTACGTACACGTTTCTAGCACACTATCAAATCTAGTGCACACCTCACTTTTGACAATGTAATTTTGCCCCAAAAAAGTGATCACTACGTTTGAGTAAATATGGTATATAATTTTGGACCACAGATTGGGAGGCCATTAAAAAATTCTAGCTTATTGATTTAAACCACTTTTAATTTTTTTAAAGGCGCTCTATGCAGTCATGCTGGCCACATGACCTTAGAGGTGTCTGTCTATGGACAATGCTGGCTCTTCGGCTTAGAAATGGAGATGAGCACCAGCCCCCAGAGTTGGACACAACTGGACTTAATGTCAGGGGAAACCCTTTACCTTAACCTAATTTTTAAAGTGCTGATTCCAAATTGTTTTAATATTATCGATAGTTTAATTATAATTTTAGTGGTAATCTATACTGTATTTTGTTTAAATTGTAAGCCATCTTGGCTTCTGTTTCTCAGAAAGAGGCAAAAGAAATAATTAATAATATTTTTTGTTACCGCTTGAAGATTAGTTATAGCCAAAAAATGGAAATAAAATTATGATTACAAAATTGATGATTGGTATATAGAGATGTGGAACAGCATAATAAACAATAAACTGACTTGTGAAATAAAATGTAAAAAGATATTAATGAAAAGAAAAATGAATAAAACTAAATCATTATACACTAGCAGTTTGGAGAAGAGGTCAATATAAGAACTATTAATATTAAGGATGAATATATGTCCCATGGGTGGTGGGTGCATATAGAGATTACATGTATAAAAATGTTTAATTGATTTATTGTATGTTTTGTGTCAATGTTAGCTGTTTGTGATTCGTATAATTTACTTATTATAAATAAATAAAAAATAAAAATATTTTAAAAAGAAAGAAAGAAAGAGGACTAGATATAAAATATAGTGAACAAAGGTGAACTGATTGTTCACATAAATGAATTGCAGCCATCCAGAAAATGAATGCTCGAAAGAGCAGGACATGAACCCATGAGGACTTGCATGGTGGAAGTTCACTTGAGGCTCCTTCTACACTGCCATATAAAATCCAGATTATCTGCTTTGAATTGGATTATATAGCAGTGTACACTCATATAATCCTGTTCAAAGTAGATAATTTGGATTATCTGCTTTGATAATGTCGATTATATGGCAGTATAGAAGCGGCCTGAGAAAGAGTCTAGCATAGCACAAGTCCTTTCACACAACATGTGATTCCACTTTAACAGCTATGGCTGCATCCTGGAGTTTGTAGTTTAGGGAGGCGCTAGAGAAGCTCCCCGGCTTCAGATTCTAAATAGAGCCCCCTAAACTGCAATTCCCAGGATCCCATGGAACCATGGCATGGAAAGGAGCCAAGAACTGGCATAATTCCCTTTATTAGAGGAAGTTCTACTGTGTTCAGTAGGGATTTCTCCCAGTTGAAAGGATAATATAGGATTACAGGGGAAAGTTATCAATTTATTGAGTGATTTTCTACCCCACCTTTCTCCCAGGATAGGATTCAGAAAATCCAGCCAGAAACTTGCCAGTTATGTCCAGAACTCATTAAAACCTATTACTTGTACTTAAACTACTTTGAAATAGCCTTAAATTACACATTAAATTGCATATATTCTAGCACCAGACATTGAAAGGAACTCTGAGAAACAGACAGGATTCTGTCATCCCATGTATAGTTCTAAAATGACAGCTTTGAGAAAGAGAGTTGCACAACAATAAACTGATCCTATTGTACTGGAGTCTATATCTGGGCCGTCTTTCCACTGCAAGTCACAGCATTGTATCAACAAAAGATACAGTGATATCTAGTATTAGGTCTCTGTCTAGTGTGCATAAATCTCTAAATGCTACCTTTTACTAATCTCCTATTCTAAAAAGAATTTCAGAGCAAATACATTTAGAATTATTAAATGTAAAAAAGCATTGTATACATAAGCAAGCTGTTAACAAAAAGGAGTATATGAGATCAAGCTGTAACAAACAATCAAAATTGGTTTTCCGGTCACACAATAATAGAGTGCAATTGTATCAGTTTCATACTGAGGAGGTTAAATGGTACTTACTTCAACCTTGGGTTCAATACTACTTACTTCAATATAAATGTGCATAGGATAACATCTTAACAGTGCACACCAATATATAGTCAAGGAGAAAAACAGAGGATACAATTTGCTATTCTAGCATACCTTTCAGAAAGGTAAGAAGCCATGTAGAGTTTTGTTGTGATTTTGTGTCTATCAAAATATTTCATTTTGACTGGATCATCTGGGTAGAATGTAGTGATATTAAATCTAGTGGATTTAGAGCTAGTTTTGTACCATTTTCAGCTTTTGCCTAGGTTTTCAAATTTCACAACCTTACTGTAGCTACCATCAGTAATACTACCAGCAGAAGTAGAGTGTGCATGGGGCTTCTCACAATCAGAAATGGGCTAGTGAAGCAGACAGATCATTCCCCCTCCCCTGCCGCCCCCCAAAGAAGAAGGGTTCTAGTTCATCCTATCACACTATGGAGCCCCCAGTGGTGCAGTGGGTTAAACCCTTGTACTGGCAGGACTGAACACCAACAGGTTGGATGTCTGAATCCGGACAGAGTGCGCATGAACTCCCTCTGTCAGCTCTAGCTCCCCATGAGAGGACATGAAAGAAGCCTCCCACAAGGATGGTAAAGCATCAAAACATCCAGGCATTCCCTGGGCAACATCCTTGCAGATGGCCCCTTCTCTACTATATGGGTTCTTTCTCAGCTCTACTGGATATGACAGCAAAATACATAAATAAATAAATTGAATGCCTGGCTAAATAAACAATAGGAGTCAAATGTTTTTTACAAATTTGGTCTGAAACTATGTATTAATCTTTATACCTTTCCAATCTGAATTCCATACACTAGTGCAAAATTATGCATGTACCAGCATAGGTCACTTTCCATGAGTATAATGCTATTTCTAGGATTTATGATTATATTAATTGCCTAGCTCTATGCCAGTCTATCTGTATGAATGAGGTCCTGATGTTCTGAATAATTTCTAACACTTCATCAGTTTGGACTCAGCTTGGAAACTTTCCACGAAATGCAGCAAAACTCTTCAAATGAGTAAAAATGTTACTTCTTTCTGGTCTCTGTGTGCAATGCCTTTTAAAATGTGATTCTTAATTTGTATCTTGTACTGAAAGTCTTTTAAGATGAAGAATTTAGTCAAACATTTCTTTTGGAAGTTTATGGGCAACAGACACAGCTGGAATGAATGTTAGGCTGCTGGGGCATGTGACACATGTGGTGGCAAGAAATCCATCTGTTATACACATGCCTGGTGCATATGAGGGCAACCCCCCTTCTCCTTCTGAACCTAATCTCCAATATGCTACTGTGTCCTATAATATGCCAGTGGAAATCTTAAATATTTGAGCCAGACTGCAGTATAGGTACAATAGACAAGCTGACTGCTGCATAGGAAATCAGCAGAAAACTTGGTAATGCCCTTTGAAGTCTATTCTTTGAAGATAGTACTGAAATGAGCTTATTTGTAACACAAATGCTTTTTTTTTTTGTTCATGTCCTTCATATTAAGACACATTTTCCATAGATTAACATGTCATTGCCACCTTGGTATTAAGGCAGTTTTAAATAACTACTATTTATTACAGCAAGTTTTCTCTATTTAACACCATCAGGGGAGTTAAAGAGATTACTACAAATCATTATCATGGAACAGAAAAAATGTTGTAGACAACATACTAATGTTAGCTTCATCTCAATATCATTTCAGTGTTATAGGATATATTTTATGTACTGCATTTAGATGGCTTTATAAACCCATTTGATTACTGCACTAGCCTTAAAATTCTAAATTACTGAAAGAATTTCCCACACTTATGAACTAGTTTGAAACTCAATAGCTTGTATTACCGCCAACAATTGAGTGACTAGCTTATCTGTGCTGTTTTACTTTGATCTTCAAGGAAGGCGTACCTGGATATTAGTCAGAAGGGTTTCTATGGAGGACAATCCATCAGGAAACAGAAAGGGAGAAGGAAAACCTGGAGGTAGCGGCTGCCCATGCCCGGTTAGCGAAAGTTTGTCAAGGCTGTCTCTTGCGGTTGGTGTGGAGAGTGAGGTCTCATCTGTATGTGATTGAAACAAAAATATAGAACAAGTTACGCTTGTCTGTTTTTATTAGACCTCAGTAATGGCTTCCCTAGTGGTTTCCAGAACATTTATTGCAAATTGGTTCCTGCTATCAGGAGAAAATGCTTTCTGCTGAATTTTCTTTAATGAAAAAGCTGTGGAGATACAACAAGATAACATTAATGAGTAACTTTATAAGCCTTTTAAATGCAGTCTCTAATGAGACTGAGTTTACAGTGCCATAGAATCTTTTTAAAACAAATATTATCTCACATATACTTGTGATAATATATTTAGGTTGACTTTATGGGTACCTTCCCAATTATCTCATTTTAGTCTCTACACTGTTTGGGCTGACAACAGAAATGTTTCCGACTATGAGAGATATTTCATATTGCTGTGGTATGTTTTATGTGAAAATGATTCTCAAGTAATTAACTATCTTCATGAACCTAGAAGGGCATGTAAAAATGAAATTCCCTAATAAAACGCTCCCTTTGGGTTGGGTATGTACATGCATTAAAACAAAACCGTGCAGGTGAATCATCTTCTACAACTAGTACTGGAAACAGACAATCCCATGTCCCTGTACTGTCTAGAATCCAGTTCTAACAACCATATTGTAAATGCAGCATGGATTCACGTAGGTCTCCCTGACTGCCCCTGCCTGTACAGTCCATCTGCTTCTTGAGTGGGTCCTCATAAACTGGAACATTCATATCATGTTGTTATTATAACATGGCAACCTTTCCACTGGAGAATTAAGACTGAGCTTGGAGACTAAATAATAGTGTAAAATTACTGTCATAATTTCTGCAATTCAAATTTGACTGGAAGAAGAGCTATCATTTATTATAACATGAAAATTATTGACACACAGAATTGTCTTTTAACACTTAATTACTTCTGCCTCAGGAGGAAGCATCTCCTCCTGAGGTAGTCAGAGATCATGTGCACATCACCCTCAAAAGAATTTTATTTCAGGATTTTGTGTTATCTGTGCAACATTGCCTAATGATCCTTTGTACAGAAACAGCATTTCTCATACAAAAAAAAACCCTGTAAAAATGTAAATCGTTCAAAAACGCAGAGCAAGAGATTTGGTAAATTAGAGAGGGAATAGTTGAAAATGTGACTAATCAAGGTCTTGGTTGTTATTTGTTGGAAGTTTGCATGCTACAGTGATGTTGGTTGGGGCGATGGGGTGCACTGAGAAGGGAGGAGCAGTGGAAGGAGATTTCCTCCTCTCCCTGTTCCCTTGTTGACCTGTCACAACCCACGATGGTGAACAGGTAGGACATGTGTCATGGCTGGGGCATGGAGTGTGAGGGTTGGGTAATTAGGATGGCTGACCAATAGCACCAAACTACGTTCAGCATCACCAAGTGGTGGGGACCCCTTCCCATCTCTGTGGCAGCTAGGGGAGTCCCTGTGGGGGCCAATTCAGCAAGTCAGATTGAATGAGAGTGGCCTAACACTCATTTTAGTTACATTTTAAGCACTTACTTTTCTTCTAACTTATTTAAATTTTTAAAGTTATTCTCTGTTTTGCCTTAAGGAATAATCCTAAAAGTATGAACTGCCTTCTTGTAAATCAAACAAACAAACAAAACAATATATTTGCATATTTAGCTAGAACATGCATTCTGTTTGTTGTAGGGTTTGCAAATACACTGAGGCTGGATCTACACTGCCAGAATCTCATCCTAGAATATCTGACAATGTAGACTCATATAATCCTTTTCAAAGCAGGTAATCTGGGATCAGGTTCTGGGATTTAGGGCAGTGTAGATCCGGCCTGTCCCTGGAGACTCCACAGGCTGCTCAAAATACTTTCCCAGACTACAATAGCCAACATTCCACTTCTAGTTTAGAAAAAAATAAATATTTTCTTTACATTAAAAAGCAGTGGGAATGCTGTTATGTAAGCAAAAAGGTTGAGGGAACTTGGAAAGGTAAAGGACACCAAACCCTGACCACTCATGGTCTTTTGCAAGACACCAGTGAATATCTGACGGGTTGCTTGGACTAATGGCCTCTTCCTCTGTGTGTACTCAGTCTGTACAGTAGTACCGTACAGTAGCACAGATTCAATATTTCTTGTGCAAAATTCTTGGGACCACAAATATTTTGGTTCCCCCCAAGATTTTGGAATCCCTGTATTTTCATACATGCACATAATGATATATTTTGGATGTGACCCAAGTATAAACATAAAAATTATTTTTCATTTATACCTTGTAAACAAAGCCTGAAGGTAATTTTGTTCAATATAATGTCACTATTTCAGAGTATTTAGACATTTGGATTTGGGGGGGGGGGGGGTGAAGGGCGAATTTTTGTTGTGTATCCCTTACTCAGGAAATTTTGTACTTGTTCATATCATAGGATTGAAACCTTTCCCTCTTTGTCACAGAGTTGCAAACTAGTTGGGGCCAACATTAGAAAGAGAGATATCATTAATCCCTGTTAAGACTGATGTACATATGAACACAATTTCTGTCTACATCTGTCAGTACTTGTTGGTTACTTTATTATTAATCAGTATGGCACCTGCAATGCCTGTTAAGGATTTCTTATGGGTTTTTCCATAATTAGTCAATAGAAAGAATAATGTAGGTACAATGTTTTAAATGGTACAAAATTCATTCCACATTGTGACTACAACCCACTTTTACTGATAGAAAGTAAGCAAAAGAAATACTAATCTATAATATAGGAATAAGAATCTTGAACTTAAGCTGAACTTTAATTAACATTTAGTGCAAGACAAAATGATCCTACAAAGAATAACTTTTGTTTTCTCTTTGTCCCATGTGAAATAAGCTTTGTGTGTGGACGTGTCCAAAACAAATGTACATATTATGCACAGGAAGAGTGGATATTTGCGGATGTGAGATAAGCTGTGTCAGAGAATCTTGAAAAAAAATTAATGTTTTTAAAAGGAAAAACACAAATGATGTAAATATTAGCCAGTCAAAACAGATCATAGTAGGAAAACTATATGAGCCCTGCCATTAAAATACCTTTAAAATATTTCGAGGAACTTCAGAGTAATGCTTCTCACTTAATACCACATTAGATTCTTTTGGGTCTTGATAAACTGACTCAAAAGAATGAATAAACATTTGTTCTATGTGTTCCTGTTATGAACACTATGTCTGCTCATGAGGGTTATGGCAGTTGTAGGCATATGAGTTTGTTTAAATATTACATTAGGAAATTAACACTTTTGCTAATTTGCATGCCATGAAAGTTTCTTCTCAATGCTGTAGATCAAACATGTCCTCTCCTTCCCAGCCTACATCTCAGGCTTTTCTTCAGGATTCATGTCTCTTCCATCCCTTTATCTGATTTCTCTTTGCTATAATATGCCCCTTGCTTTAAATCTCCCCTTTTCAGACTTTCTGCAATGTTGGATATCTTAGTTTATGAGAGTTCCTCATGGTCACTCTTTCCATACTAAAATTGCTGTACAGTCTACGTAAGACTTTACTATTGCTCTAGTTGACAACTATTGCTGTCTTTATTGAAACTAAAAGTGAAGTTTTAAGGGAAAGTTTAAGGGAAATGATACAAACCCCAGCACCAAAACTTTACTGTAATTAACAGTGATATATCAAGTACAGTATTGTTTGCCTTCAGTATTCACAGATTCTGCAACCGTTTCAATCTAGGTCTTGAAAGTTTTTTTAAAAAAAATCCAAAAAGTGAACCTTGATTTTACCATTATAAACAATGGGATTTTTGTGTCCTTCAATTTTCGTATTCATGGGGTCTTGGAACCAAACCCCAAAGGATACCAAAAGTTCACTGTACTGTACAGCACAGTACATAAGATTTCTCCTCAAAATATCCTGCCAAAAATGTCCACTACTGCAATATTCTGCATTTTTGCATGGAAATAATAAAACCAGACTTTTTGGGTCAGAAGCAGGATCAAAAGCCAAATTGACGTGTGCATATGTGTGAATGAACACACCCCAATTGTAGTTATGCAATGCGAAATTGCACATAAACATAAAAAATCCACCCAGAGTCATATTATAATTTCAGAAGTCATATTATAATTTACAAAATTAATCAAATTTAATCAAGTGGGGAAGTGCTTTTTTAGTTCTTACAATCAAGATTAAATATATTAAGATTTCCATTCATAGTAACTGAGCCCAGACACATGTAACTGAAACAAAATGTGACTGAAATAATTATTTTTATGCTTGTCATAGTTTCACTGCCTGTGACTGTCTTCCCTTGTGTCAATATCTATGCTCCTTGGTACCTGGTCCTGTCTGCTTATCCTTTGTAAAGGCCAGGTACATAGCAAGTCTTTTCAAAGTTACACATACTTTATTTATATTTGTATGGTATAGGAGATAGCATGGTATGCCCAACTTGCCCAAGGAAACATGCTGAGGAACCTTGGACCACAATTTCTCAGACACAGAGAATGACAATGGCAATCCTCCTTTGCTAAGAAAATCTTCCTTAAAAGCTGGAAATGACTTGAAGGCAGACACTTACCAAAACCTGAAAATTGTATTGCAAATTGTCATAAATAAACCAAATCTTGTAGCCATTTTGAACAACTGCAACATCGCAGAATTCCCTTCTCTGCCAATTTATACTCACTTCAGATACCTGAGAGAAACACAAGAATTGGACATTTCCCATCTATAAATTACAAGTATGAAGAAAACAAGATATGGTAACTAACTAAAAACACACTTCAGAGAGGCCAGCCATGACATTTGCAACCTTGATTGCCTTGATTGCCGCATTGCCTTCTCATGTGTCACCTCTTCCTACTATCACAGAACCTTCTCCCCAAACTCCAAGAATCTAACATCATGTTTCCTCTGTGGAGGTAGGATTTGTTCATACAGAGACTGTGAGCAGATTAGAATATTATGAAGTCTGAATGCAACTGCCACTTCTATTTCTCCTTAATTTTAATTATGTACCTGAGATGTCACAAAGAAGGTAAGGAGTGTGC